AATCTAGTACTTACAAGTGCCTGCCTTGTCGAGGGCAATCTTATCATACCTTTTGATATCCCCAGGGGTCAGGGCAAATGGTAGCTAATTCAGAGGCACGATTCTCTCATTTGACGAGCAGCTTTGTAACTTTCTCAGTTTGTACGTTGGACCTTGATTCCATCTGCTTTCAGATCCAATCATCTTATATATTCAGTTCATAATATGCAGTAATTCGGTGAGTAAACAAGAAACTGGTTCTCTGTATCATATAAGTGAATAATACAAGCCTACTGCTCCTCGGATTTTGCAATGGACCAATGAGGGATACCTTTGACAAATTTTTTTCCTTGGCCAATGATATATCGGTTATACATCCACACTCATGATTCTCGCTCGATATACATTGTGGGTCATGTCGGGTTTGGGGTTTAGGTTCATGGGCCAGTATGATTGAGTGGGCCGTGTCATTTATGGCCTGTGGCATGGCCCATATATATTTTTATATATTATGTATATATAATATATGAAAAAGTACGGAAGGCCCAATGCAAAATTTTGAATTCTGTTGTAGAGCTATAAACATTCAAAATGTCAAAAACCCCTATTTTATACACTAATACTCACCCGTGAATTGGCATCAATTCCGAGCTGGCACCTACCCCAACTGTACTTTGGGCCTAGAAATTCTGACCCTAGGCTGAACCGTCATTCTCTCTTTAATATATTAATATATTAATATATATAATTTTATTTTCAATTTTATTATATTATTTCATATATAAACAATTATATGCATTAAAATTCATATAAAATAAAATTTTAAAATATTTTTTAAAATTTTGTCTATTTTTTAATTTATATTATTTTTTTTTCAAAAATTTAAAAAACATGACTTAACCCAATTTACGACTCGATCCATGAACCAGCCTAACCCGCAACACGATACGAATCCACACAAACTCGGGCAGACCCCTAATAGCTAGGCCTAACTCAACCCGTACTTTACACGGACCGTGTCTGATTTACACCTCTATGCACGATGACAGATAAGTCTTCGTCCATAAAGTCTCAATGGTTGGCTCGTATCTTTGGACGCTCCTTCCTAATTAATTGGGAAGCCATTCGTCTAATCCAAGCAACGTTGCTATGGTTAGTACATATGGATTAAAATGATTGTCTTCCGATGACTATTCCTCGCTGAAGAACATTCCTGGAGTGGATCATATAGTAATTATTGAGAAATGAGATATATGCTTGCATTGTTTGATCAGATTTATTTTTTGACCAAGGTATTTCAGAAACATTATTCAGAGTAATTTGATTAAACACTCGAGGGAAGATCTTCAGTACTGAAATGCTTTCTTATTATAGATTTATCGAAAATAAATTCAAATTAAATGACATTCGAAATGTATCAAGTCGTTGTAGTATAGTGGTAAGTATTCCCGCCTGTCACGCGGGTGACCCGGGTTCGATCCCCGGCAACGGCGTTGTAGTTTTTAAATAGATACTGGAATAGTATGCATCATAGATTAGCAAAATCATCCCAAGAGAAAAAGAAATTATAAGTTTTCGCCACTTGGGCGTATGATTGATTGATTGATATGCGAACAGCAAAATCATTCAAATTAGCAAGTAAATCCATGCAATGTATAAAGTTACTTAAAAATGGGAAAATTACCTTGCAGTTCATTGCAGAATTTTAAATTCTATTGTAGACCTATAATAATTCAAAATGTCAAATACCTACATTCTATACATCAATACCTATCCGTGAATTGGCATCAATTCTGAACTGGCACTTACCCCAAATATACGTTGGGCCTAAGAATTGTAACACTAGGCTGAACCGTCATTCACCCCTTAGAAATTTGGTTAGATTTAGGTTTAATGCCTCAAGACAAGGCTGCCCAATTTGAAAAATATCAACTATATTAGGTTTGGATCATGGGCCAAATTCATGGAGAGATGCTTGTTGAAGTCGTGGCTTCGATTCAATGACAACATCACATTGTAATATGCAAGGGTATCTTTGGCGTTTGGAAGGAGTATAAATACAAATGTGTACAGTGTAAAATCTTGTATTTTGTATTATTTTGTATGTATTTGTATTTGTTCTCATTCCAAACTGAGCCTTTGGTACAATTTCCAACCTCCCTAATACTTAGGATAGGGGTGTTGGGTGCAAATGGATCATATCATATTTGAATCAGAATCTAATTCAATAGTAGAATTCAAAATCCGATTTATTTCCAAAGATTTGATCATATCTCATAAATGGTGATTCAAATTCGAATCCGTTAAGGATGTCAATATCCACATTTGTGTTAGATAAAGTATGTCCTTATATCTAATCAGATTGATATACATATACATTTATTGTAAATGAATAAATGTACATTATTGTTTCATGTTGACATTGGTATGTTTCTTTGAAATTACCCCTTAAAGTAGACACTTATGAGACTTGTGTTAGTTTAGAATGTTCTCAGCCATTGGATAAACTTGGGGAGTGTATCCCGCCAAGGCTGACACCGATGTGTTGCCAAAAAAGTTGGGGCAGCTTGTCTCAGCTGCTAGGGTTAGACCTAAAGCACATGCAATGTGTGTTTGGTTAAAACACTTAACCCCGACCATTTTCCAATTATGCCCTGGACCTTGGAGATTGATGGGCAAAACTAGAAACTTAAACATAGCCCCTATACTTGATTATGACACTACAGTAGGTGTTGGATTGTGTTGTCTTTGATATGCCAATTAGTAAAATCCATTAAGGGTCAAAACCTGAATATGTTGGGGGAGTCTAAGAATTCACTTGAGTGGGTGATCGTAGTGATAAGATTGGCTCTTTTATTAGACAAAGTGACTGATAGGCTTACACTCCTCTGATGGAAACCTATACTACTTATAGTGGATTTCAACTATGTTTGATATTTGGTTTTGCAAAGTATATTTATATAATATATATTAATGTTGATGTAGTGCGATCCAGTCACTCCTAGCTGGCACTCACGTGGCTCCTAGAAGGTACTTGAGATGAAGAAGAAGAAGAAGAATCCCCGGGGGCTTGCCCGACGGGAATACTCCGATGTTTAAATTAGTACTCTGTAGGAGAAGCAAAGAGAAAGCGAAGGCTAAGAGTGCTAATAGCGCATTACCACTATACTCGAGAGATTAGAAGTCTCTAGACGTTCCTCTTCCGCCCTGGGGGCTTTTATAGGGGCATTCTTGTCAGGTCGGGCATAACCGCCACTGGGTTCCTGCCACAGCCGTTACTTGCCAGGGCTGCGCAGGTGGCTGATGTGACGTACTCCTCGTCTGGGTGAGTGACACGTCCCCAAAGTGGCAGGCACGCCTTCACCTGCTGAGTGATGTGAACGCAGACTGTCGAAAGGATATGGATTGTGCCGTCAGTAAGGGACGTGGCGCAGTCTGATCGTATGGCCTGTTAGATAAAAGTTTCCTGAGGAGTGCTCATGCGACTTATTCGCGAGCTACTTTGCAGCGAGCTCGGAATACTTCAAGATTACCCTTAATAGAATTGGTCTTTGGGATGACTTGTCTGCTTGGGAGCTCGGGCGGGCTAGTTCCCCTAGCTCGCGAGCTAAAGTTGCATCGGAGTATCCCTTCAAAGGTAGCTCGGGGAACCTGGAGCTCGTGTTGTGGCGAGCTCCTCCTTTTGTGAGCTACAACGTAGCGAGCTACTTTGTGGGCCCATCACTTGGTTGCACTAGGCTACAATGTTGAGTTGTTGATCGTGTTGAGTTAGTGTCCACGTGTCACCGTTTCTTAGGTCGGGTCAAATCGTCCTCTATCAAATGTTTTATGGAAAAATGTTTGCAAAAAGGTTTTAATTCCTGAGCTTCGTCCAAGTAGAGAGTGTGACATTGTACATTACAGCTAGGGGAGAGGTCCTTTCCTGTCAGACAGTCTTTGACCATTATGGGCCGAGAGGTTAAGTGTAAGAGACCATTAAGGGCTAATTACCTGATGGTATGGTTGAATTCAATGATCATAGTATGGTTGAATTCAATGATCATTTAAGTGTAAATGTTGGGTTGAGCCCAATAATGATATGCTCAGGGGTTCACTGTGTTTAGTAGTGAATTCGACCAAGCCTTTTTATAAAGGTCGGCTGAACCTATGTGGACTTATGTGAGATCATTGGCGGAAGGAAGAAGATAATGAGTATTGCTTTTTGGGAGTGGGGGTATTTTAGGCATTATAGAAGTTTATTAAGGATTGGTCCATCATATTTTTTTGAAGAAAAAAAAAATCTAACTTGAAGTCACTTTTTTAAAGAAATACTTCTTTAAAAAGATATTTTTTCTCCACTTTTTTATCAAACACCCATAAATACTTAAAAATCACTTAATGTGTGGTCTCATGTCTTAAAAAATATATTTATTAAAAGAAATAATTCTTTTAAATGTTTTAAAAGAGGCCTTAACCCGAAGTGATTCACATCGTTCGCTCCATAGAGCAATGACCGGGTGACGACAACATATCAGGGGCGATTCGAACGAAAAAAATAAACTGGTTTATACCTCATCTAAATAATACATAGGTGAAACAACAATAAAGTTTCAAATAAATGGAGAAAAATAAATGAAAAATAAAGAAATATACCTAGTTAGCAGATCAAAACAGTCGTTTAGTGGAGTTCAGTGGAATTGAGCGGCAGAGCGTGTGTCCAAGTGTGATGAGAGCGGAGAGTTCGCTTAAAGCAGTACGCTCACCTCCAATCCAAACTGGCGATGAGACAAAAAAAAGGCTGGTCAGAAGAAAAAAAAAAAACAGGAGAAAAAAAATAGAGGAACCAATAAACGCCGCGAGCGGCATGAGCAAAAAAAAGCAGGAGAGAAAAACAAAATAAATATAATGAGCGACGTGTGAAAAAAAAATCGCTAGACAAACCTGTATGAATTTTGTCTTCATCTCTTTCGATCTCTCTATGACTTTGTCTACACCTCTCTTAATCTCTCTGTAAACATATAGTTACTGTATGAACTGTATGAACTCTATCTACACCTTTGTCGATCTCTTTGTTACTCTTTCTATACCTTTCTCGATCTCTCTGTAGTTTCTAACTATTATAAGTTAATGGTCGTAGGAAGACCTCATTGCAAAGGTATAGTTGGTGGTTGTTGAGGTTGAGAAGCGTGAACAAACAAATAACCGAGAGATAGGCAACTATCTCATCAATTATGACTTGAGCAAGTACATGAATGGGTGGGAGAGGAATGAAAAGGCAAAGCCATGACGATGTGGCTTAATAGGAAGCGAGGATAGGAGAAGGGAAGAAAGAGTGAGAGTGAATGAGAGACTAAGAAAGGGTAAGGGAGAAAGGAGAGGGGTTTAAGGAGAGAAGAGAGATGAGGGAATGGAAGAAGGAGAGCAGTGGTGATGTGGAACGCAAAGACGTTTAGACTTCCAAAACGTCTCCCGCCCTATCTTCCCTTTTGTTTTTCACCAAGTCTCGAGGGAAAGGACCTGGAACGAGATCCCTCTCTCTCACCTCCTCCATGTGTCTCTCTTTGTTCCATCTCCCTATCCTCTTCTCTCTCTGTTTCGTTTATATTGATTTCTTCTTTTCAAGGTTCTCTTAGGGTTTGAGTACTTATTTGGAATGTGCTTCATTCAGGGATTGTCTAAATTGGCCAAACGACATGCAGGGCTATTGGTTTTTTGAAAAGTATCTTTGGCCATCTGGTGGGTACATGAATGTTTTTGTTTTCTTATTTGCATTTATTTTGTTTAATTTCGTTCTGTTTTCTCTTACAAGGAAAAGAGGGTTTACTGATGACAGAAATGCTAAGGATTGCACGAAAATGGATGATTATTCAGTTTTGTATGGATTTGCCTTGGAGATGTCGATTATTAATTTTTTTTTTTTTTGGATGATTTTGCATCTTTTTTTCTCTAACGAGATTGTCTCTATTGTCATGGTTGTGGTTTTTCTTGGATTTGATGGGATTGGCTTGCATGTATAGTACTTGGTTTATGCGTGTTAGGGTTAGTCATATTAATTACCTTTTTTGTTTTTCTCAAGGGTTTAATTAGCATGTTTTCAATGACGAGGTTATTCCCTGCTGTTGTCTTGGTTGTGACTTCTGCTGTTCAATAGGGTTTGGAGACTTATAGTTTGGTTAATCCTATTCGGCTTAGAGATGTTGATTTTACCCTTTTTTCCTGGTATTTTATTACCGATCTTTTGTTTGATTGTTCATTGTCTCTTTTTTTTTTTTTTTTGCAAGATGGGTTTTGTTCATGGTTCAGCTATTGATCAAGCAGACATGGGTGTTTTTGATGCCATCAATTTGATGTTTGTGTTGGGGTTTAGCAGTGGCTTTGTTGGTTTCAGTGATGCTCTTTATTGCACGGTGACAATTATGTTTTATGGGTGGTGGCTATGTAGGTTATCCAAATGTTGATTGGATTAGCTATTTTGTGGTGTGAGTGTGGAGGTTCTATGGTGGATTACGTGATTTGGTGTTGTTATTTGGGAGTGGTTTGGTGGATTATTGGATTGTTGACCAAAATGACTATTTTTTGTGTGGGTGTGGAGGTTCTTTGGTTGATTTGATGATTTTCTACAACTATTCGGGAGTGGAAGGCGATTACCAGAGTCTGGTATGTTCAGAGCTTGGTGGTTGGTGTTTGGTTTGAATCCTGTGGTGGTTGTGGGGGCTACCGATGTTTGGTTTGGTTAGATTTTAAAACCAATGTTTGTTTCGTTATATTTAAAGTGTCATCCTTTTTGTGATGTTATGTTTATTAGATTTATGAATTTTTATTTTCTTTTTTTATTATGATAGGAGTTTAGTCTGTTGTTATTTTTTATTATTTTCTTTTTTGGTGTTGTTGTCATGCTTACCAAGTTAGTTTTGTATATTTTGGTTTCTATTGTTCTTATTTTTTTTGCCAATGTTTCCTTTTGTGGTTCAGGTATGTGGCTTTGCTATTTGATCTTTATTTGGTTAGGGTATTTTCTTTTTGCTGCACTGGTTAGGATATTAAGACATTTCTTTGTTTCCCTATCTTTATGTTTGGTAAATAAGTACAATAATCATCAATTGTAGTTTACACCAGATTTGTTACTTCCATGGACTTCAGTAAATCAATAAAATTGCTCCCATAGGTAAAGAAGCACTTCCCATGCTCATATAATACAAAATTTGTGCCTTCACTTGGAAAGATGTTTTTTTTTTTTTTTTTTATCAAATATGTTGCTTGCTTTGCAAATTTAACAAAGAACCCAACCTATATAGGACACCCAATATTGAATTCCTGTCTCCAATTTTTTAAATCAATGGTTAATTCTTTGCTATATATACAATATAAGTTTCATCAATGGCAGACACACAACAAGTTGGTTGGGTTTTTGGATGTTTTAAAGGAATAACACATCTTTATGTTGTTACTGTTCAGTAAGTTGGTTAGTATTTTGTTGGTTTCTAATTTTTCTTAGTTGTGTAATTGGATTCATATTAGTGTCTTTGAAGCTCCCTACCTGGCCCAATATGAGTGTTTTTTTTTTTATTTTTATTTTTTGCATTTATTCTATTTTCTTAGAAATGTGATGTGCTATTACTTGGGGATGCTTTTGAAAATGTCTTATTTTGGGTATTTCTATCTTTACTTATTTGTCCATAATAAATTAGAAAAAATGAAAAACAAAAATGAAATATGAGGTAGCTAGACTTACCCGTAATAGTTCCAAATGGACAGGACAAAATAGAGCACATTTTGGTTTAAAAATTTCTATGATAAACCAATAACCAGGTGAACACTTGCAGAGTTAGAATCTCAATTTGACGATAATTTCTATAATAAACCAATAACCAACTCCCTTAAGCTTATGAGAAGCAGGAGTCTTATATTTATATCATTTTCTTTATCACATTTATTTGTAGATATTTAATGGTAATTTACAGTTTTCAGTTATTTTTCTTTCATGGCATAGATTTGCGGTGAGCAATATGTAGAATATTTGAATGCTTCATTATAATTGCCATTCTAATGCTTTATGGCTTGTATGTATTGCAATTAGCTTTCAGTAGAAGATAACCATAGACCTATCAGAGCTTAGGTACTTGGAGGATGAGGAGAAGATAATTAAAGGTGCAACCATGGGTTAAGTTGTCGATACCATTTGGGAAATCATGCACTTGGTAATATTTTCCAGGTGTTGAGAGAACCGTTGCATTTCCTAGATTGAAGACCATGAAGATGACAGGATAGCTATGGGCTGACCTTTTCTTCAACTGGAGGAGTTTGTATAGATTTGGAGCATTTGATACAGAATTACAGGATGAAGAGATGGTGGTTTTGATGTTGGAGTTTCTACTTTGGTCAAATATAATCATTTATTCCCTCCACAATTGGTATGTAGTCTCCAATTTGTAATATACAATAAAACAGTATAATCCAAATTAAGTTGCTCTAATACTAACTTTGCACATCATCATTTTTCTTTTATTTGCCAATTTTATAGGAAATTGCACATCATCAAGGAAATTGGCCTCTCACCAGGAGATTGAATCTCTTGAAAGCAAAAAACGTTCTAACACTTAAGAGCATGAACATTCAACCATACATTGGGAATATTTCCGGTACATGTATGCAGGTGGTGTTCCTGTTGTATGGTTGGATGCCCACACTCTCAGTTTAATGCTTGGATTGTATTCAAATTGATTTGGTTCAATTGAAATATAATATTGTTGACTTAAATAGATTTATGGTTTTTTCATTATTTTTTTCTTTAGACAAAATGATGTAAGATTTACATTTTCTCTTAATCACTTACGACATGATATTGGATATTGGGCTTTCCTGAGCATCACACAGGACCCTGCGAGTATATATATATATATATATATTAAAAAAGGAAGTCTGAAATTTTCTCCTTTTTTTTGAAATTTTTATTTTTTTTAATTTCATGTCATTAATGAGATGCACTTTCTCAATAACCTAAATAATTTCTAAAATTCTTCTTAAATACCTCCCCCACTTTCTCCAAAATTATTTATCTTCTAAATTACCCCTAATTCCTATTTATCTCCAAAATGATCTCTAATTCAGTAGAGTGTTTCTCTCCTAAATTATCTCTAATTCCTATTTATCCTCTTCCCTACTTTTTATCTATATCTATCTAAATTAAAAAATTTAAGAATTATTTAAATATTGTAACAAAACTATATAATAATTTTAAAATATTTATTAAAAACACAAAAAAAATTTTTATATTTTTACAAAATATATCACGAAATTATGTACTAAGGATATGTAATAACTTTATATAATAAAATTCAAATAATAAAAAAATATTAAATATTTTATAGATTATTTAAATAACTAAATATTTATCATAACTAGATTTTAAATAGTTAAAATAACAAAATTATGTAATAAATTTTAAAAATTTATTCAAAGTAAAAATAATTATAACATAATATTGAAATTACAAAATAATAGTATAAATTATGATTTTATGGATAATTAAATTCAATAAATAATTAATATTTTAAAATTTAAATATTTTACATATTATTTAATTATTTAAATAAATAAATATTTTATAATAGAATGTTTAACATAACTAGATTTTAAATAGTTAAAATAAAGAAATTATGTAATAAATTAAAAAAATCGAAAAGTAGAAAAATAAATATAACATAATATTGAAATTAATAATATTTAATATTTTTACATAATATTGTAAATAACTAATTTCACTTATATCAAGTAATATTTCGAAAAAATAACTTTCAAAAAAATTAATAATTATTGGAGATTAAACTATTATTATTAAAAATTTTAAATTTAATTTATTGTACTTATTGTATTTTTGTTATAACTTATTGATTAATATTTATTATAGATTAAACTATTATTTGCGATTATACTATTTATTGACTAAGTTTATATTTTTAGTACATATTGTATTTTCATTATCAATATATTTTTAATAATTGTGTACTTTTGCTATAAATTTTCAATAATTATTGGAGATTAAACTATTGTTAATTATCAGAGATGAGACTATTAATTTAGCTGAAATTATGAGTGTTCATGAGTTGGTTCGATTCGGTCGTAACCTATTTGGCCAACCAAATTGACCTAGTTAGGTTGGGGAGTTGGTCAGATGAAACCGACTGACCTTTTGTGAAAACCAACCCACTCAAGTTATATCGGTTTGGGTCGATTTTTTGGTTTGGTCAGTTAGTTCAAAAGATTTAAACTTAAAAATTAAATTAAATTTTAAAAATTATAGTGCAATTATTGAAAAAATAAATTTAAAAATTAGATTTATGATATAAAACATTTTAGACCAAGAAATATGGGAAATTTCCTACTTTTCCATATTTAAAATATAAAATATTAATATATATCCATAGTTAGGTCGTTTGATTTTGGTCGGTTTACAAATGACCAAAGTAAAATTGATCTGACTTGGTTGGATTGGGAAATTTTTGAACCAAAGTCGACCTAAAATACTAGAAAAGCGACCAACTCGAGTCAAGTTGATCGGGTTGGTCGGCTTCATCAGTTTGATGAATAAACCTAACTGGAATTAACTATTTTTATTTTTGTATTATAAAAAATTTATTAAAAATAGTATATAAAATATGAATAATTATTAATTATTTAAAAAGTTGAAAATATAAAACAATTGTATACTCTTATGTGTTTCTATTAGGGTCATTTTGACCAAATATTGCCAATAGAGTAGTTTTCCCGTGTCTTATTAAGGGCAAAAATGGTATTTTTATTTTTATTTTATTACGATTAAATTTATATAAATGAACATTAGGGTCAACACTGTCATTTTTCACTATCATCTAATGGAAGATTGATTATTAAATCTATTGCAAATTATAAGTGATGTTTTAGTAAAATACTAATTATAGGGTAGATTTTAGTAAATCCATGAAACTATAAGGGGTATTTTAGTAAATGATCCTTTCTATTATTTAACTTTCTCTTAATAAATCCCGTGCATTGTACAAATTCTCGCTAGTAATAGTATAGAAGATTAATAAGAATGCCTATAATTAACCACTGCTATTATTTGTACAAACTTTCATTGATACAACTCAAAGGGGTTGGTTTTGAGGTGGGTTGGACCACCAACCTCCCAATATCTATAGAAAACATTTGGGAGAATGACGGTTCAGACAAGGGTCAGAATTTTTAGGCCCAAAGTACAGTTTGGGGTAGGTGCCATCTCGGAATTGATTCTAATTTATGGGTGGACATTGGTGTATAGAGTGGGGGGTTTTTAACATTTTGAATGTTTATAGGTCTGCAGTGGAATTCAAAAATCTGCATTGGGCCTGTTTTTACTTTTCTGAAAACAATTTTAGCCCAAAAAATCCAACCCGCCCTCCGAAGCAAGGTTCAAAGTATCGATACGATATGAGTTTTGATCGTATCATATCGGCACTTAAAAACTGCCAAAACTCTTTTTTTTTTAGTTTTTTTTTTAAATTTGATTTTTTGGAAAACTTATAGCCTGTTTTTTATTATTAAAAAAAATTGGGAAAATAGGCGTTTTAGACCGTATCATTTTCAAAAGATATGATAAGATATGCCTATGGATACTTTGAACCTTACTCCGAAGCAAGAGGTCCAAGACCAGGGTTGGGTTATGTTCGGGACAGGTCCAAACAGCTCAAAATACTGAACTGGGACCGGCCCGACCCGGGTCTATCTCTGTGCGGAATACGGCATCGGCATTCGGCAATACGCACCGAACCGTCCTAATTCGTAATTCCTGAATAGGACTCAATATTAATCTAAAATTATTCCACGCTCCACGTGTATATATTAAGACTCCAGTTCAACTCCACACCAACTCAAAATATCAAAGTTTCCAGATTTCTTTCCGCACATCCTTGTGCCTGTCCTGAATCTAGGAACCGGTTCTATCTCTGTGAATTCCGACTCCAATAAAATGGCAAGAACCAATCAAGAGGCAGTGGAGACTTTCATGAATATCACCGGTGTCTCCGAGGCAGTTGCCTTGCAGAAGCTTGAAGTAGGCCTTCGTCTCTGAATTTTGAATTCCTATGTTATTTTTTTTGAATTCTTTAGGGTTTCTGGATCAACCACGGATCTTTATCCATGTCTGCTTGCTCTTGACTCTGACAAAAAATGTCCTAATCTGTTATTAGGGTTTACGTTTCGTTGAAACTTTGAATTGCATGGGAATCAGGGAATGCGATGGTTTTACTGCGTTAAGATTCGGGTTTCTAATTTTGATTTGCCAATCTAGGTTTATCTGACGTAATAAATTGTCTGCACGAAAATCACAAACTTGTATTCATATTTTTGAACATACTAGAAAATCCATGTGGCGGATTCTCCATCTTATTGCAAACGGTCAGGTTAGCACTATATTTGATTGGCGAAGTGGCATCTCCTACAAAAGATAGGAATAAATATGGGAGCATAATTAATTCTGAGAAAATTGATTGGGTGTTTAGCCGTATAAAGCTATAAGTGAATGGAACTAGAGTTCTTTCCTGACTGAAGTTTAAAATTTGACTTTATGATTCCCAAGATCAATCTTTCATGTATAGGTCCACGCTTGTGGTGGCTAGCCCTCTCCGTGATGATTAAACTGCGTAGGAAGGTGATAAAGTGGGTGCCTTGAGAGTGTTTACTGACTAGCATAATGGGATTCTCGCTGTCTGAGAAGTTGTGAAGTGGTTAGTGGTCCACTTGGACATCATAGACGTAGGTTGTCTTTAATGACAAAGAAGGGATGCCGATGTGGTTTCTTTTAGATGTGCAATTGCATTTGCAGTCTATTTTGGATGGTTACAATATCTTTGACAGGTATCTGCAAGTATGCACAACTTTATGTGCAAATTTCCAGATTTGATACAATCCATGGGAATCCAAATTATATATTTCGTATTGATGGCCAGATCCTGGATTGCCTGGTTCTCTTGTTATGTTTCTATTATCCATTGAATGAGCATTTTTGATGTTTGCTGCAATTGTATGCTGGGTATGTCCAATAATTTGAACTTTCTCTCAGATTATATATTATCAGCCATAATGAATATTTTTTGGCCGAACAATGGTAGTCTCTCTATTCTTCTGTGTAAAATGTCCTTACTTATTGGACAATGGGCCATGACTGAAGTATCTATTGGTTTTCAATGCAATAGGATGAAGGTTTTTATATGGTTCTTCACAATTACAAAGCCTGAAGCCCAAATATATTTTTTCACCCCTGAATTTAAAATTGCATTAAATTTCTACTTACTCCATGCACTTAGGGACCAATTGATTGCGGATCAAGTGGCTGAATTGAATGTCTTATTGCTTTGTCTTTTAGTTAATAGGTTATTAAGTAGATTGTGAGCTCCTTAATGGTTGAGTGACATGTTGGTTGCTTTCTAATTTCTACATCCCTAAATATTTTATTATATGACTATCAAAAGACTAAGGTGGTGTTTGTTTGTTTTTGTTTTGAACTGACCAATGAAGTTTTGAAATATGACTTTTCAGAGGTTGGTTCTTGTTTGGTAGATCGTCTGAATAAAATTGCTGAAGATAGAAAATGCTTCTTAGTGGCTCAGTGATGTCTCCTCTTAATGCAATCTGTGATTTATTAGATTATTTTTCCCAAAAATTATTTCCTCAAATCTCTATTTGGCACATATTATCCTTATTTGTCTTCACACAACCTTTCCCAAAACCCTTCTCTTTCATGAACAAATTCTCTTTTGCTTGTGGAGACCTAATGACAGTGACAAGCATGTTCAAGTGATATTTCTAGCTTTCCATGAGTGATTTCTTCCATCTGAACTGATTTTCTATTGCTGTATAAATTCTATTTTTTTTTATTTTAACTAGATATTCTAATATCACAACTTTCAAATTTGGTTTTCCTCCGTTACAAATCTATCCTGTCAACAGTGAACAGAGGCAACCTAGTTTATATTTCAGCTTCCCTTTTTGTCCTCTTCCATTTATTTTTTACTCTGTCTCAAATTTAAGTATATTTGTGGTGTATCTTGATTGCATCTAGAAATTTTTATTCTTCTGTTGTATTTATGCTTTCTTCTTGGTTTTTCTTCTTTTCTTGTGTTTAAGTATTCTTTGTGATGTCATTTTTTTTTAAATGAAATGTTCATTATCAAACTTTGTTCCTTTTTGGTGACAATGAAATGGCTTAGCACAGGCTGGAAGCGAAATCTGAATCCAACCTTGTTGATAATCTCAGTGTCATAAGCCAGACCTTGTTTCTGGAGTAGCACAGCTTGGTCTAATTTGTAATTGATAGTTCTAGATCGTCAAGTATTAGTTTCTGCTTTTTCCGTAGATCCTAATTTTTACAGGATGCAACTGGTACTTCTGGGGTTCTCCCCTTAATAAAGATGAGAGCTGGTTTCAATACTCTAGATCATGCTTAAATTAGCAGGAACCACACTATCTAGCCATCTAGATGATGTTTGTGAGGCACAATGGACCCAAAGGAATATTTTCCTTTGGTGATTCTGCTCCTGCTTTTGGGTGGACAATTGAACAGCTCATTTAAGTGTACCAATACCACACCAAGTTTTGCAAATGTCATGGCTGATGCTCTGGCAAAGACAGAGGTGTCTAGGGATGGTCTTCTTTGGGGAACTCCTGGGCCGGGCTTGAATTTGTAATTTTTGATTGTGCTTGTTTTATTAGTTGCCAAGGCTTGCTTTGTACTCTTCCTTTCTGCTTTATTTTTTGAGCAGCCTATGAATGAATACAATTTACATTATTAATAAAAGAAGAAAAAAGTTCGCTCCTGTTTTTCATATGTTGGTTGTGTGGTGGTTGCATTTGATAGGGAGAGTTGTGCCAAGAACCTGCTTGTAAAATAATGCTTGGGAGAACTGACTTGATTCTACATGGTTGTGGTTATAAACCTTTACACGCTCATATTTATATCAGTGGAAGCATCTGCTGGAAGCATAGTAGTAGTTGGCACACAAATGTTCTTGATTAGACACTCTTTGTTAAAAGTTCATCATCATCAACCAAGCCTTATTGAAATTATATGGGGTTCACTATGCCATATCCATTGTTAAACTATTAGTGCTTAAATAATTTCTTACTACTTTGTCCATGCCCCCTTTTGCTCTATCCTTAGTCCTTCTGCCCCCCTTCAACTTGCAATAATCCACTTCTTACAAGAGCTATTGATGGTCTTCTATGCACATGGCCAAACTATCTTAGTCTACTTTCTCCCATTTTATCACCTATTGGAGCTACTCTTATATTCCTTCGAATGATCTCATTTCTGGTCCTATCCTTTTTGGTTTTTCCACTCATCCATCTTAGCATACACATTTTTGCCACACTCATTTTTTGGACATGTTGTTGCTTAATTGTTCAACACTTTGCTCCATACAGGAAGTGAAGGAGTGTATCTTAACAATGGCTATCCATTGGCTGAAAACCCTAGATTCTTTTAATTCATTTTTTCTTTGATGACATTTGGAAGAGTTGGTCAGTAGTAGTTAATATAGAGCTTTGTCAGTTTGGACACCACCTCTGGAAGGGTTTACTAAACTGAACTCTGGGAAGCTAAGGCAATTCGGTATTGTTGGGTGTAGGAGAGGTTTTGATCATGGTTTGTACTTTTGATACTGATAGGCATTTTTCCATGTAGAGATGGAGATATCTCGGAGATATTTTGCTAATTTCGCTAAGATATTTGGGAAATCTAAAAATCAATGAAGTTTTTAAAAATATGGAATTAGTTAATAAACCTTTAAGGAATCATTAGAAAAAATATAATTGCACATTTAAGGCTCAAAAAACCATAGCAAAGGACTGTATAAATCAAATAGAAGAAAATTAAGAGACTTTAATAGGTACCCTCTCTATCTCCCTTGTTGCCTTTTTACCATCTTCTCTTCATTAAATATGTCAATTACTTGCCACTTTGACTCTGCCTTTTTTTGTCACTATTGTTTTTATTAATTGAGAATGCTCTTTTATAGTTATATGCATTTTTCTACTTCTTTTGAATTATAGTGGCTTAGTGAATCATATGAAAATAGTAAGCCAATTATCCAGTCACAAATTCTCCGTTGGTTCTTTTAGGAAAATACTTTTAAAAAATTATGTTGGTTGTAATAAAATATCGAAAAGTTTTTAATAATATTCAAGTTTTAAACCTTAAATATATAGTTTATTAATGAAATCTGAAATATCGCCGACATATCGGAGATGTTTTGAAAAAACGATTCCTGGAAATTTTCGTATCACAACTTGGCAAAATGGGATACATTGGGGATTTTTCACTAAATATCTCTGATATTGCGAACCATGGTTTTGATAAATGTGGACAGCAACATCATATCCTTATTCTCAGGCCTGGTGAGAATAGGTGATTCGACAAGGGGTTGGGTTATTAGCTGCAGTACAAGGGATTCAGATTGCCAACCAAGAACCAACTTGGGGTGGAGAATCTACTAATTGAAGGAAACTCAAAGGTGGTTGTGTGATGGTTCTTGGACCCAGATTCTGTCATTTGGAGTTATAGGATGTCATAAAAAGAGTTAAATGGTTAACAAGGCACATGACAATTAGACTCCATTGGGTGGGCAAGTCGACAAATTCAATGGCTGATTTTCTTGCTAAACATGGGACTTCTTGGGAAGTATCATACCGGGCAGCTTTGTAATCTTTACTTTTTGAGAACATTGCTTTAGGAGAGGTCACCTCGTGCCCCTCCAAGGGATACTTGTAAAAGTTTGTTCTCTTTTATTAATGAAATTATCAAAAAAAAAAAAAAAACAAAACCCACATTGCTCCATACAGCATAGCTGGCCTTACAACTGTTTTATGGAATTTTCCTTTTAATCTAGGTGGAATTCACCTATCATTCTTTTTAAAAATTAATAATGTCAAATATAGTATGACTTGAAACCAAACCAGGGAAGGCAAGGGATATATGATGTCTCCTTGTCTTTAACCTAATATTAACATTGATAATGCTTTTCTTAACTATACATAGATGAAAACAGAATTGCAAACAGAAACTAGATGGTACTCATGTAGGGAAACTCAAGGCATGGCTGAGATATCATATAAAACCTTAATGTAAGGGGGTCTGGTAGGGTAAGGCAGTCTGGAACCTCTGAAAGTGTTGGGTGAGATGCGGTTTGGGCTTGTTTTCTTGGTTTGAGGTGCTGGGAAGCTTGTTGTTGCTATGTACTTGTTTGGGAACTGAGTTTCCTCTTGTATTGGTGATCTGAGGGCTGAAAAACTGGACTGGATGGGGCTTTCCCCTGAGGTGGGAACTAGTGGGGGAAACCTTGGGAAGGAAGAAAGGGAAAAGGGAGAAGGGAAGAGGAGAAGAAAGAAGAAGTAGGGAACTGAAACTGAGGCTGGGATGCTCTGTTGCTCGGGACACCGAATGGGGGAGTTCTCCATCTGTTTTGGGGATTTGTTTCCCTTTTATAGCTGTTCCGTGGCTATTGGGCCGAAGCTTTTCCAGAACTCTTGTTTTCCTGGAAAATTTTCCCTTTGTAGTTTTGAAGCATCTGACATTGTATGTCAGGATGTTGTCAAAATCTTACAATTTACAATTTGAAATCTAACATTATATGCCTGCAAAAAGGGGTCTAAATTGTTGTCTTTGTTACCAAGTAAAATTTGATATGAAAGATGCCATTCATCTTGAACATTATCTGTTCATCTATGTCATATAAGCTAGGAGATAAAAAGGAAATGTTACATAGATGTGTCCTCAAGAATCTGTGGACTCTAATGCATGCCTGATATGGAGACGTTATTCATTTTTAAGAATCCATGCAACACTGGCTGCTGTATTCTTTTCTTATTCTTTATGTTGATTGTATAAAACCCATGCATTCTCTTTAAACATTTCTGCTGTCTTATACATTAATTGATAACCAGGAACATGGTGGTGATCTGAATGCAGCTGTCAATGCACATTTCAATGAAGGCAACAGAAGCATGTATGCAATACTGAAACTACCTTTTCCTTTTTCTTCTTATTTACCAGTCGCTTTGCACTCTCTGGGAGTGCTTCTTTTCAGACTCTCTCTCTCTCTCTCTCTAAATTTAACTTGGATTATTATAATAAATTTCCTGGTTGATGTGCAGTGTGCATCAAGCATCTCCGCCTGCTGCTCAAAATGATCTCATGGTCATTGATGATCCACTTGAAATTGAACCCCAGGGAATCTCTTCATTTTTATCAGCTGGTAGACATTTGAACTCATTCTCACTTCTTGACCCTAGCTTCCGTAGAAGTTCTTTTGAGGGAAGGGGTGCTTCTAACTTTCCCAGCCACGAACAACTTGTTTCTCATCCAAGAGAAGTCAAGGAGATTCCCATTGAGGTAAAGGATGGGGGTAATCATTCTGGTTTTTCAGGATCTGGGCCTATCATTGAGGATGCCACTGAAGCTGTTCATGCTCATGTCCCCAAAATTTGTGGCAATGTTATAATTGATGAGGAGGATGAAGATATTCCAACTGCTCTTCCTGCCAATACCTCAGGTCAGAATACAAGTCAAGACAGATTTTCAGGTGGCAATGTTCATCAGAGAGATCATAGACCTAGTGCTCTTGTATTAGACAGTATGACTGATTATAGCAATGATATAGAAGAAGAAATGGTACAAGCTGCCATTGAAGCTTCTAAGTGGGAGGTTGAAGAGCGTAACTCAAATCAAAGAAGTGCTCCAGATGTATGTGAAAGTAATCCTCATCATCATTCTCAACTTCTTTAGTTCTATGTTGGTTTATGCTCCTTGTCTTCCATGTATTTTGATCCTTTTGCATCTTTCTGCAGGATTCAACTGGTATTGGTACTGAGTCAAGGCACTCTAACTTGGAAGATGCTGAATTTGAACGGGCAGTTTCATTGTCCTTGAAGGTTTATAATCCTGCCAGTTTTCATTTTCAATTTCCTTGTTTCTGTACTTGTGCACTCCTTTGAACATGATTTGATTTTAGACAGCAGAGCAAGAGAAAGCAATGCATATGCAGGAAGAGCTAGTTGGAGTGGAACAACCAAGTATATGCAAACGAGTTAATATTGAAGAATTGGGAGAATTAACAACAACAAATGGAAGGTGTGTATCTTTTTTTGCTGTTGCACTTATGTGCATGTATGCACATGCATGCATGTAAACATAGTCATGTAGTCATGTAACATCTATCTATATGCATCTTGGCTTGTTGGAATGTGTTCTTGATTTGTGGTTTTTCTTCCTCCTGCTGGAGGCAAGGATCTGGTTCTTTTAACAGGGGAATCTCGGATCAATTTAAGTTAGAGGCAGGAAGCTCATATGTTCAAGATGAGACTGAAGATGCAGAAGAGCAACCATTGGTAAGGCATAGATCAGGACAGCTCGCATCAGGATCTCTGGGTTCTGTAAAAGAGGTTGTAGAAATTGCTGATAGCCCACCATCAAGTCCTGGACATGCTGTCAGCACTCAACCCCTACATACTGAAAATGGTTTTGAGTCTGATGAGGTAGCATCCATATGCACATTCATTTTCACTATCCAATTGGAGTTTCATTTTTTCTTCAATTTCTACATGCACTTACACTAGATGACTGTTGTATATTCTTATTATGATAATTTGATAAAGTGGGGAGGTATTTCTTCAAATGAACGTGATGAAGCAGTAATGCTTGAGGCTGCACTTTTTGGTGGAATTCCTGAAGGGACTACTTATTGTTTTGGTAGAGAAATGGGCCTTTATCCTCGGCATGTACCACGTCCTCCATCGCCCACTTTGGCAGCCCAACGTTTACTACGAGAACAGCAGGTTTGTCTTTTCTATTGAGTGACAATCTGCAAACTGGTATCAATCCATTGGATCATTAATGCAAGAGACAAGCTTGCAGGATGACGAATATCTTGCATCATTACAAGCAGACAGAGAGAAAGAATTGAAAGCCAGGGAGGAAGCTGAAGCTCGTCGTTTAGCAGAGCAAGCTGCCAGAGAAGCTGCGCTTGAAGAAGAAAGACGCAAGGAGGAAGAACATCAGAGGAAATTGCTAGAGGAAGAGGTAATGCAAATTAAATTTCTGGATCACCCATCACTTGGTATGAATGGTTATTTTTAAGGATAATTTTATTTCTTATTTTTTTTTACCAAGAAAATTAATCTTCTTTTAGTTTTTTACTCTTTTCTTTTTGGTTGTTTTTGGGGAGGGGAAGGGAAAACATTTGTGTGCTTGTGATTGATCCAGAACTTGCTAGTTTGTAGAATTTCTGTAGGGTGGTGTGGTGAAATTTCCCTCTTTGAAAGGAAACAAGTCATGACTATCTTCATTTATTAGCTCCTTCACACAATTATTTACATGCATATTTCTTTACTACCTTTTTTGTAAGTAAAATTTTACCCTCTTGGGAGATGAAAATTATATCCCATTGGGTTTCATAATTTGAGAATGAGTGGTTGCACTGTCTGCTGTCATCCATCTCAGTGTTTAAATTATGAAAATTGTTGTGCCCTGGACTTGACATTGAAAAGCAGTTATTTTTTCTACAGAGAGAACTCATGACTTTTCAACAAACAAAAGCGACTTGTGGTGTCAGTGTTACTACTTCGCTACTTCATGTGTTTCTTCTTGATGAGTTTGTAATCTACTGAAGCAACATTTTTCTGATCAGTAATACATTTTCAAAAGTCATTTTTAGCATGTCATACAAGGGGATCCCCTTCACTTGGAGCTAATCAAATGGAGGGGAGAAAGAATACACCAGCTGGAAGTTGCCCTCTTTCCTATTGTACTTTTTGTTGTTTTCTTTTAATAAAATTTCTGTTAATTATCCAAAAAAAACTGATCTGACAATGTTCTGTTAATTTCTTTTAATGTCTACCAAGCAAAATTTGACTATGTTCTGAATTCTGATAATGTCTTCTAAAGAAGGGACCTTTAACCATACTGAAGGCTATTTGAAATGTCTTGACATTCTTCTGATGCACTATAGGTAGGGGCATAATGTTGAATTTTACTTTTTCCAGGATGTCATACTGGAGGAGTTAACAGAAGAACTGCTCCTTGACCAATTGGTACTTTTACAAGGGGTAACATTATCTAGGATAAAAATTGAGCCATTGCACAATTGAGGAAATGACATGTTTCCTGAATTTATTTGGGTCTTATGCACAATTGAGCCATTGCATAAACTGTTCTTAAAAACCAGAAAGTAGAGAAAGAAGACCAAACAAATCAAAACATAGATACACAGTAAATGAAAAAAAAAGAAGAAACTAAAAACAATTTAGTCTGACTTCTGCTTCTCCATCTAGTTTGCAATCCTACCAAGCAGTTACAATGGGAGGCGGACACTGTGGGAAAAAACCTTTAAATGACTACTGGTGCCAACTAAAAAGAAAGGAAAACAAGATGCATTCTTCAAACAAATTGGAAAGTAATGACGAATGAGGTTTGTTGGACATGTATTTCCTAGGGATGAGCAAATAGGTAGGTTCTACCTGGAACTTAATGGAACTGACCTCAAATCAGCCTTGCACTGACCCTACCCAATCTGTTAGCAGTAGGGTCTGGTTCTAAATTCTTGGAACTGGCCCCCACCCATGTCGGTTCTAGGGTCCTTGGGGTTTAACCTACCCAATCTGTTTAGTGGTTTGGTCATTTTTCTTCAATTTAATATTTAAATGTGTAATAAATAATGTGGAAGTTAATATTTACAAAATTTGAATTACAATGATAAGTTTTGCTTTTTGAACTATATTATTATTATTATTTGAAAATCAAGTTTTTAAAGAACATGCTCCATTTTTTTTTCTTTGGAGGTGAAGGGTAAAGAAAGAATAGGTTCCATGGGTAGACCCTGGAACTGATCTTGACAGGGTTGGTTCTGGTTCCAAAAACCTGGAACTGACCCATACAGGGTAGGTTTCAAGTTCTGCCTTGGAACCGAACCGAACCAACCTATGCTCACTCCAACTGTTTCGAACTAGATGATAGTTTTCATCTCTTTTTGTACGGGGTTCTTGTTTGCGCAGACATTGTTTAGCTTCTGAGTTGGTTTTGTTGGTTGTCTCGGAGCATTTTACTTTCTACACTTATATCATTACATGCCCTCATTTTATTGTCTTTTTTATTTGTTTTCGGGGGGGGGGNGGGGGGGGGGGTTGCCAAACTATGTGGGAACTAAGCAGTGTACTAAAGGCATGGGAGGTGTACTCCTGGAAAACCATACTTTGTACCCCATGCTGCTTCCTAGTTCCTCATACTGCTTCCTAGGGTATGCCTGGAAAACCATATTTTGTACCCTATACATCTCTTGGAAGAGAGATGTACTGTCTGGTATTCTTCATTGGCCGCATTAAAGATGTTTAACCAAGTTTCTCATGAATGGCAGGAGCTTGAGAGATTTTTAGCTGCCAAAGAAGCTTCTCTTCCTCAGGAACCCCCTGCAGATGATGAGAATGCTGTAACTCTTCTTGTCCGTTTGCCAGATGGAAGTCGCCATGGTCGTCGCTTTCTCAAGTCTGACAACCTGCAGGTAGCATCTCATGGAAATGATTTCTTTTTGCCTGTATGCATTAGAAACTACCAATGGCTGCCCGTTGAAAAAAAATGATGTTGCCTTGCTGCCTCAAATTTTGGAGACAAGGAACATCTGTCTTGTAACTTCTGTGATATAAAATGATCAAAGTATCCTTAGTTAAAGCAATTTCCTACGTTTTGTGCTTCTTTCTGATAAAAGGAAATAGCTTCAGGGCTTAAGAGTGCATTTTAGTTTTTGTTTTCTTCACTTCTCAGTTGCAATTGATTGTTAGACTTTGAGATGGTGAATGGTCACCATCTTTATGACATAGATGGCTGCAGGTGGTAATGTGCAGATCAGAAATTGCTTTAACTGCCTCATCGCTTGTCTCAACCTGATTACTTCTTTCTTCTTTCTTTTTTTGTGCTTTGCAGTTGCTTTTTGACTTTATCGATGTGGGTAGAGGGGTTAAGCCTGGCACTTACAGATTGGTAATATTTCTTCCGTTCTTCCCTTTCTATTGTTTCTATATTAAAATATTGAATAGCCAAAGTCGCATGTTGTGTTGGCATGTTTATCATCTAGGTATCAGGTACTGCACACATTCACAAACATCATCCTGGCACTTTGTTATTATTTATTTATTTATTTTTGGTGAAGAGCATTTGGTACTTGTTTAGTGCTCTATTTTGCATGGTTTAATGGTGCATCATTTTCATGCTAAACCTTCTTTTTATTTTTTGGGGGGCGGGGTGTTGGAAAAAGATACTCTATTGAATTAAAGCCTGAAAGCTTTAGGTGCCTGAGGGGTTGTTTGTTGGTGCAATGGAAAAACCTAAGGCAGAAAACGTGAGAATGTGGGGCCAAACGTTAGACCTGTATCCAGTCCACCCTAGGGCTGCCAATGGTTGAGTCTGACCCGATGGACCCAAACCGATTGTACTGCTTCTGGTTCCAGGATCTGTATGGATGGGTCGGTTCCAGTTCCTGATCTATTGTCCCAATTGTTATCGGTTTGGAACCAGTTCTACCTAGTCCTGAACTGACTCAGACCTGACCCAAGCCATATATATTAAATGTATAATATATTAAATGAATTATTATATATTATTAGATGTATAATGTTTTCAGAAGGTTTATTATAATTGGGTCAGACCTGAGAACTGATCGGTTCGGTTTCAGTTCCTCAATATTTCTTGTCAGGTTGGTTCTGGTTCTACCCTGTCCCGATCTGGACCCAACTGCCCAACCTGGGTTTTTCCAAATTTTGGCCTTGTCCTGGGCCCAAGCGGGGCCAGATCATAGCTTCATCCTGATCCATTGTGAACTGGCCTGGCCATACATGCATCTATTCTTGACTAATGCCTAATAGGCACAGGACCAACATTTACGGTACCTAGCAAAACTATAATTTGATTTGATTTGTTTATAAAGTCAGCAGATTAAAGACAGTAAGGAGTCAAGGCAGATATAAAAAATGTATAAGCTGGATTTTCCAAGCACTGGAGGGCTCACAAGTAAACGCATCACCTTTTTCTCTTGATGGGCGACACTTGTTTTAGCACTGTTTACTTTGTAATTATAAATTAAGGTGGTATTTTTTTTTCTCCAAGGCTCCTTTGGGAAGAATGCAGATACAAATATGTTCAGCGCAAAACCTTATATTTGGTATTTCTAGACCTTGTATTTGCACTCTTCCCAAACTGAGCCTAAACAAGTGTTTCATAAGCGGTTATAGGATAGTGTGTGGGAACTCCTGTCTCCCATCTCTGGAAGTGGAACTATTATTGAGTCTAGGGAGAAACAGAAAATTGAGGGAAAGTTCTTAAGAGTGTTTCATAAAATTTGTTAAGATCTTCCCTCAACTTTCTGTATCTTTTATTTTCTATGAAACGAAATATGGCTTAAATCAATGTGTTCATGTTTTCTTAATTACCATGCTTTAATGAGGTTGTGTCTCAGAAAATCACCATCACTTTAATAATTTGAATATGTTGAATTATAGAAAACCATGCATTTCAATGGAAGCTGAAACGCACGTGTTTCTTTTCAGTAACAAGTTATCATTACCGGAAGTTGTTTATTTTTAATGTGACACCTTTCCTCAATCTCCATGTTTGGCAGGTGCGACCATACCCTCGGCGCGCATTCGGCGATGGTGAGAGCAGTCTGTCTTTGAGCGAACTTGGTCTAAAAAACAAACAAGAAGCCTTGTTCCTAGAGCTGATATAGAATGTCAGCGTTTAGTTGGAAGATAAAGAAAAAAAAACTTGTATCAACAATTCAAATAGATGGGAACTGGGAAGTCTCATTTAAATTTATACATGGAGTAGGAATCAAACTCAACTTTGTGTCCCACAAGAAAAACATACATTTGGCAGGAATCAAGAGGGGATTCTTCACCCGAAACTGAAGAAAAAATTGAATATGAAACTGCTTCTCAACGACCTCCCACGCTTCTATTTCTGCATTTGTGGTCTATAGGATTTATGGTTCGTATTAACGGTGTTGTTGGTTGGTGGATGAATCTGTACATACACCAAAGTTCACTATCAAAATGTTTTGCCGGTAAAATGGAAATCTATGATTTGCAGTGGCATCTTTATTGGCCTCTTTCTCTTTGAAGTTGGAGTTTGAGCATTGGCAAGGTAAGCATCTTTGTGTACCTCAGGTGTTTGATATGGTGTACAAAAACACACCCGAGAAAGGGGTGAAAGCAACAATTGACCTGAGGTTGTCAATGGATCGGATGTTGCTCCGGATCTAATCCGAATCTGATCTTGTTAAATTGGATTTTGATTTACTCTGTTATTTAGATCAGACCCGATTCGAATTTATTTATGTAGTGTGATATCAAATTTATTTATTATCGCCTCCCTCGAGACCATCAAGCACAAGCATGTACAACATAGTCTTGAACTTGATTATATCGTCTAAGTCTTCGGGAGTTATTTTAGCATTTATATGTATATACCCCACACACATACAATGGATTGCTGGAATATCTATTCTTAAATTATCGTTTTCCAACAATTGTCTCCCTTGCTATTAAAGTCTGTAAGTATTTTGCCACATTCTGTTCACATGTGGTGTAACGAATAGATTTTTTTATTTTTATTTTAAATCCAATATTACCTTTTTGTGACCTTTCTTCAAGATTTTTATTCCTAAAAGTCTTCAACTGATCAGCTCTTCACCAAGCAATCTCAGATTCATAGGTCACGACTATGTAGAGGATGGAGCTGTTTCGCGCGCATAGAGGACTGAAGAAAGGGGAAAAACAAAAGAAAACATATAAAGAAAACAAAAAAGAAAAGAGAGAAAATAAGGAACCCCAGAAATTTGCCAATCGGACATCACAAAGAAAGTTCTCGCGGCGGGACACTAATACTACTCAAAACCCGCTGTTTATGTTTCCACATCTACTTGTTCCAAAGGGTTTGAATCATCTAAGTTCATACTGATCTGCAAGTTCCATGAACCTCGTGCTTAGTATCTGCCTCGGTTTCAATTGTTTTTCTCTCCTATGACTGGACTCGGTAGAGCTGCCTTCATGAAACTGTGAATCCCTTCATTTTCTAGTATGGCAGATTACGGAGGAAGCGCTAGGGCTTTTTCCACAGATGAAATCACGCAATTGTGCTCTTTTAGGACTTCCACTTAGGCAAAGTCTAGTAATCTGAGGTTGATTTGAGTAGACTTCATACAAAAGAAGAGGATTTGAGGTTGGTTGTATAGTCAAGTTGGTTCTATGCAGCTTAGTCTTCCTCCCATTCTGAAAAAGTAAAAATACAGCAGGGTTATTTTTATTTTGAAAATTTAAAGTTGAAGGGTAAAATAATATTTTCAATCTATTTGTTAACGGTAACCAACAATTGTCAATTGTCAGTTAGATAGTGTATGCCCTTAGCTCCAATCAGAATGATGTACATTATGACATTTATTGTAAATGAATAAAGTACATATTTGATTCATATTATTATGGTATGTTTCTGTGTAATACCTTTAAATTGGACACATATGAGATTCGTGTTAGTTTAGAATGTTTACAGTCGTTGGATAGATCTGGGGAGATTTATCCTAATAAGGCTGACACTGATGTGCCGCCAAATTGGTTGAGGTAGCCTGTCTCAACTGTCAAGGTGAGATCCGAGGTACATGAAGTGTAGGTTTACTTGAAACACTGAACCAGACCAGAATTCCAGTATTGCCCTAAACCTTGGTGATTAGTGGGCAAAACTGGAATGTTACACCTGACCCCTAGACTCGATTATGATACTGCACTAGGTGTCGGATTTGATTGTCTTTGATATGCCAATCAGTGAGATCCTTAGAAGGGGTCAAAACCTAGGTATGTTGGGACAGTTCGAGAATTCATTTGAGTGGGTGATCATAGTGATAGGATCAGCCCTTTTGTCGGACAAAGGTAATGATCGGGGATGCACTTTCTCTGATGGAAATCAAAGCTGCCGGCAGCTGATTTCAATCGTTGAAATTTGTTTTTTGCAAAATATATTTATATAAAGATATACATATATATTACGGTTTCAAAATGTTTGCAAAAATGTTTTAATTCCCGGGATCCATGTGAGTAGAGAGTGCAACACTGTTCCTTGCAGTCGAGGGAGAGGTCCTCCCTTGTCGGGTAGTGTTTGATCATTATGGGATGAGAGGTTAAGTATAAGACTATTGAGGATAGTACCTGATGGGCTAATCTTGCATCTGCCCACAATCCCTGGGTTTTAATAAGATGGCTTGGCCCAGGGACCACTTAGTGTAAGTGTTGGGTCCATTAAGGGCCCATGGTGATGGGCTCAGGGGTTCACTGTCCATAACAGTGAATTCGGCTAGGCCTTGTAACAGAGGCTAGGCTGAACCCATGTGGCTGATGTGTAGATCAATGTTTGAGTCCCACGCCATACAAGGAAACCCAACTGGGCAATAGTCTGGAAGGTCAGTGAGCACATGGACCTGATGGGACTAAAGCCCAAATTGAACTGATCTAATTTGATTAGTTAAAGAAGGGGCAGATCTGGGATTTGGATCAGTAGATAGGATAGGGAGTTATCCCTATCCACTCAGAGAGTCCAGATCCAAATACAGATTTGGATTTGGAAACTCCTAATAAGATTAGGAGGGTTGATCTAATCTACAGATAAGATAAGGGCTTATCCTTATCTCTTAAAGGGAAGTCCTGATCCAAATACAGATTTGGATTATGAAACTCCTAATGAGATTATGAGCTCTCTTTAAGGCTATAAAAGGAAGAGGAGGGCGAACCTCCATTTATCTCAACGATCAGATCTTAGATCACAAAAAGAGAGAAGACAACTACAGTAAGACTACACCATCTTCTGCTCTTGCGCCCTCCTCCTCTTGCTGCCATTGCTAGTTCGTTCTTTACTGTAGGAGCAATCAGAAAGGGTTTTTGATATCAATTCTTGATATCACTGTAGGAGCGATCAAAAAGGGTTCACATACCCTCCATCGAAATCTTGCTGAAGGATTCGGTTCTTGTGAAGAACCTGCTTATTCTGCTCCACCCTACACTGTGTCATCTTCAGTGGAAGCAGTCTTTGGAGTTTTCCTTTGGTGTGAACACCTTCATTGGGAGATATTGTTTTTTCGTATCAGGTACTTCCCTCTCCTACTTTTTGGTTTCAGATCTAGTCCGGTTTAGGTTCAAGATTGATCATTGAAAATGTAGATTTTCTAAAACCGGGAATGTGATTCTCACATAGGAGAAAGAGAAATTTTTGAAATTTTGCCCTACCTACCTGCAGGATTCAACTATCCATATGATAGATCTCTCATTCTTTCAGTCAAAAAATTGAGGGATACTTTAAGCCAATTTTTAAACGGTAGGAATGAATAAGTCAAACCTTAGAGATACTTTCAGAAATTTGCCCAAACTAATAATACTGAGCATAGACATGAGATGAACATATTTCCAAAAGTGAGAGGGGAAGTCCCATGAGCCTTCTTAGCCTGTTTTAACTAGTTTCAACTTGTATTGCTTGTCATGGCTTTTCTTTTCTACTACTAATAAACTCCTCAAAAGAATTCCTTACAGATCCGTCCAAGTTTAAAGAATGATATTAAACTTAGTCCACTGAAGTGACTGATCATTTGGTGAGGCCTGAGGGATCTTTGGCTGCAGTGCGAATTTATTTGCATTAGTACAAATGCATGGGAGTGTAAATGAAGAAAATATAAATTCTTGTTTAATTTTGTTTTGGATTTTACTTTATTCTACTTCATGTCTTAATTTATTTAATTTTTACTGCAATCAAACAAAATAATTTAAAATTCAAAACAAAAATAGATCAGAATTTACAATCAAACCAATTTGCATTGCCATAATTTTGCATCAGTGCAAAATTATTTGCGTTGCAACCAAACACAGCATTACTGACCGGTTAACTAGTAAGTCCGTGACCCAATGAGAATTTGGGTTTGTATCCAATCCGGGTCCGACAACGTTGTCCTAATGAACTTTTATAAAATAATATTAAAAATTAGAGCAGAATAACAATCAGTTACTATTGTATGCGTATCTTACTAGTATTGGTGAGTTTTTAAATGCGGCTTCTCTTATATAATTTCTAATTGCGTGCACATTTCTTATTTCTTTTGAAGATGTTAAGTGGGCTCCACTGCTCTATTGACAATGTATAGTGGATGAATTTAGGTATTACCTGAATTGAAAATAAAGGAAGGTTCTATGGCTCCACTTTTTTTTTATTGTAAAATAAGTAAAAAAAAAAGTTAAAAACATCAATTTATAAAATGCCAGTTATTACTTCTATCTACTTTACAGCCATAACTTTATTTATAACATCCTTTACATAAACCATCCTAAAGATATCTAATAAACTTGAGTTTTAATTAAGACCTCCTTAATAACAAGGCCTCGTTTGGCACATTTTTTTGTGCGGACTGTTGATCTTTTAGAAGTTTGGCAGTTTGTATTTTGGTCTTTTCTTGTTTGATTGGGAAAAGATTTAGTCATCGAAAGACACAGCCTCGAAAAGATGTGGAAAGTCAATTTCAGGCTATTTTTTGGAAATTTCAAATGAAGATTTTCTCCTTTTTTTTAATTCATTTTTGTGCGAAAAGATGTGCGAACAGACACACCTTAACCAAATGGTCTTCAAACTATTAAGATCTTGATGCAAAAGCTCACACCATCTTTGACTGTTAGAGCTTTCAACCGATCTTTCAAAAAAAGCTTGCCAAATGGCCCTATAATTATTACGGACTAGACCTTTTCATGAGTTGGGTTTCGAGTCCAACATTACACTGTTTTGAGCTTAGGGTTCAGGCCGGGCCCATTCAGATTTTGGCAAAAATTATGCCTGAGCCCGACCCATGAATAAATATATTATGAACGCAACTCATAATTTAATCTTATAGTAAAGTTGGTAGAGGTAGAAGGAAAAAAGCCATTTAGTCTATAATTCATTCTAGTTTTGTTGCCAACCCTAACGTTTTGGTTGCACTTAGATTTTCATTCATGTAACCTTTAATTATAATTTATGGGTCATTTACATCGATATCCTTTATAGTTTCACGTATTTATTAAAACATACCCTATAGTTTGCATAGTACAATGCACCCCTATAATTTTGTTTTCGCTTTATCTATCACTGTTTTTCTTAGATGGGTGTGATGTTTTTGACTTTAATGTCTATTTGATCAAATTAATCAAAAGAAAAAAAAAGGTTGATTTTACCCCAGGTGGATATTTTTGGAATGAAAAACTCTAGGTCCATGATCTTTCATATTTTCTACTCATTTTAAGCGGTAATGTGAGCATTCACAAACGAAAACACAAATTGATGGAAGGTTAGCTAAGCAGTTGCAAATTATAGGGGGTGTTTCAGTAATATACGCACATACACTATAGGGTAGGTTTTAGGGAATATATGAGACTAGGAGTAGGGGTGTAATTTGGGC